TCCAGAGGTGAAATGCTAGATCAAAAGCTTTGATACGTATTTTGGAGAATTTGTTTCTCCAAACCCACAATAGTGAGATACTAATTTCAGAAGTATTTTAATTTGCACTTCTCTGGTAACTCATATTTACCTACTCTCTTTTTTCCTGTTCACATTCTTTATTTAGTTTTCTATATGGGGTATCCTTCATTTTCTTACTAATTATTATGAGTTTGTTATATTTTAAGAAGTTAAGGTGCTCCACCTAACTTACTTAGTTCAGTATTTGTAATCAATCACTTAAATGAAAGAATTGAAGCACAGTGTTTAGATTTGTGGTTGGCATTACATGGGAAGGTATAATATTAAATTTCAGGGAGATCTCCCATTGATGAGTCAGAATTAAGATAAACTTGGCTAGTAATCAAGATGTACTTTGAATTTGTCTTAAAATAATATGCCTTGAGTAATAACAACAGTTGCTAAGTACCTGCTGTATTCCAAGTAATATGCTAGCCTTTTTTTTTTTCATATAAACTCCAGTTTTCACAGCATATCTACAAAACGATGTTACTATCTTCATTAATAAATAAGAAATCTGAGACTGGAACGGTTTCGTTATATAAATTCAAGATGGCAGAGCCAGGATTCAAAATCATGTCATTTGTCCTTGTTGGCCGTGCTGTTCACACTATGCCTTGGACATATACAACATTTGGGAAATAATGTTTGTGAAAAGGGTCAGCAAGGCAATGTGAGGACCAGAAAGCAAATCCGTTTTCCATTACAAAGCTGGATAAGGGAAGTAATCTAATCACACATTTTATTTTCTTTAGTTCAAATAGAGAATATTGCTTAAATGTCTGGCCACCACACTTTAAAAGGGTACCATTTTTGGATGTGGCCAGTGTTGGAATGCTTGTGTAGCATGTGCAAGGCCCTGGGTTTCATCCCCAGCACTGCAAGGAAAGGGCAATGGGATACCCTTTCATGTCCCTCATCATCAAGAAGTGGCCAAAGCTGAGTGTTTGTGGAAAACACTTTGGAAAGCCAACCTCAAGTTGACCATCCCAGCAATATGGAATCTGCAAAGTTTTGAAAACTCTAAATTCTTCTATGGATTTGTTATTGCCCCAGTCTAGCTTCCATGTTTGCTTCATTAAGTTGTCTTTTTGATGTGGTTATATAAAATAAATTTTAATTGGTATAGTTGGTTTTATTACATTTAAATTAAAATATTTATTAATGTTTCCTAACCATAACAGTAAATGATCATAAATAATAAAATATGTGACTTTTTGCTATCAGAAAAGGCAATCTATAATTTTTTTTAAATAGAAATAAATCAATTTTAAGAGTTAGAATATAGATCTAAGGATAGCTACTCTTTGAAACAGCTAATTTCGGATAAATTAAGTTTTCATGAATTGTGAATTGATGAAGACTGAAATATTGGAAGCAGACTGTGGGCATCTGCAGGCAGACCGAAGAGCACTGAGCCTCCACCCACAGTGTGGTTCCAGGGAGAACATGTGCAAGGCACAGTAGCTGCTCAGTTTGAGATCTGTTTTATTCTGCCTTTTTTTAAAAAATTCTACTATGGAGGGTTTTTAAAACATTTAACATTATGTAACTAAAAGTTGGTGGCTCTCTCTGTAGACTGCCAGAAGCCAGTGAATAGAGAAGAGGGACAGCTGAAAAGGCTCAGCATGAAAATCTTTGCAGCAAATCCAGTTTTGTCCCTGTGGCAGCACATTTTGTTGGTGTGAATTCGCCATTCTCTTGTGCCACAGCTTTCCTTTGCTTTTAAATATTTGTTTTCATTGGGTTCCTACTCACCAACCTGAAAGGGTGTTCTGATGATTGGCTGATACTGTTATCCTGATGGACTGTCAACCAGCCATTAAATTAGCCAATCATATTACTATATTCTGCTTAAAAAATTGTCAGAGGAGACTAAAGGAAAGTTCATAAATTCAGCTTTTCTGTTACATAGGTTGGTTTTGATTATTTGGTGGTGTTGGGAATTAAATCCAGGGCCTCACAATGCTAGGCAAGTGTACTGCCACTGAGCCACACCCTAACCCTCTATTATATAGGTTTTTATATCTTATTGATAATTTGTATTTGTTGGGATTATTTGCCAACAGGGAAGAAGGAATTAATATATTTATCTGGGATTAAATGAAACTTTTTGGAGATTCTAGAGTAGTTTTATATTTATTGCTCACTAGCTTTTAACTGGGGGGGGGGGCAGAATAACTACCTGTGGCTATTTTTGATTTGGGCTGCATTTAAGTCGACTTTCTTAATTCCATGAATTTCATATGTTGACTAGGGAGAAGCCAAACTGGAAATGCTTTGATCATTTCACATAACACTTATAAAGCAAGGAAAACTTTTCTGTATAACAAACATTTTACAGTTTAGATTATCACTTGAAATAATTTTTCTACATATCATAAAATCATTTATTACAAAAAGACATAAGAGCCACATTGATATGCCAACTACTGCTGAATGGTATTTGTCACTGTCCTTAAACCACTCTATTCATTCCCTTACAGTTCACATCTAAAACACTGAGCAAGCGTGTAGACTCTACCTTAATAATGAATCCCAGAAACAACCTCTTCTCACTACTTTTCACCCCACTTATAGTGTAGGGGTAAAGAACAAAAATTCTGGAATCAACTCTGGGTTTGAACTCTGGATCTGCTGCTTACTAGCCTTGAGTTTTTCAGCAAGTTAATCCTTGCCTCAGGCATCTCGTCTATTAAAAATGAAGAAACAGTAGTGACCAATGTTCTCTGCCATATGTACAGATTTTGAGCAGTGGCTGATTCATAGTGAGTACTTCATGAGTATTAGCAGTTATTGTCACCATTATCATCCTTAGTTATTACCACAGCCGAAGTCTACTCTGCCATTTCATGTGACCTTTCTAATATAAACATCAGATCATGTAACTCCCTGCTGAAAAGCCTCTAGCATTTTTCATTTAACTCCACACAAATTCCCAAGTCCTCACTCTAGTCAGTGTCCTTTGTGACTTGATACTGTGGGTCCTTGGCCTCATCCTCTGTCTTTCTCCCTCTAGACCTTTATTCAAAAGGCCTTGTTCTTGATGGTACTCTTTGCTGCCCTGTGCTGCCTGACCCTGATGGTTTTAATTGCTTTTTCCACTTTTTTCATAGCACTATGTACAAGTAGAGTATGAGCTCCAGAAGGACAGGGCCTAGGACAGTGCCTGGGACCTAGTAGTTGCTGTATGCATTTGTTGAATGGATAAACAAATGAAACAGAATTTCATTGCCACTTCTGATGCTTTTGTGCTTTTAAATATATAAAACCAAGAGCTTATATAAATACTGTCAATATAAATTCAGTTAAAACCATCAAAAGTTTCTCTACAAGTTTATGAAAATGGCACAGTGAAAGGTAACAGTGAAGTGGGATAAGATTGGCTTTTCTGAGACTGCTTTCCTATGTATAAAACACAGGCAGGACCACGTCTTGTTGGGGCCGTAGGGCTCTGAGGATCTGCCTCATCAAAGGACGAAGAAAATGGGCATAACTGGGAGCCTGATGATAAATTGACAAGGTTTATTAACACCAAGACTTGAGCCTCATAAAAACAAAGACATGGTCTGTGTGCTCACCACTTACAGGGCTGTTGCTCAGCACAGTGGCCATTGCAGAGTGTATTAGTAGCTATTGTTGGATATTTTTTATTTCAAGTGACAATATGTTATTTTGTGATAACAGGTGAAAAACAAGTTGAAATTTTAGCATATGGAGTCTGTTGTTTTTTCATGATGGTATTTATTGACTACCCATAATAGATCAGCTTAAAACACTTCATACTAAAATGGCCAGTTTATTCAACCTTTCTTCAATTCCTCATGAATTTTCTATTAATTACTTAAAATATAAAACAAAACGTATCTGATACAATTTTCTTTCTTTAATTTTTTTTCTATTTTTGTACTTAAAGTAAGACCTTTTTAGAATTTTACTTCTGGTTAGAGAATACTTTTTATCAGGAAATTATCCTAAGGAAGGTATTCAAGATATAATAATAACAATAATGTTGAGACAAGTTTGACACTACAGTAGGTCATCAGTTGAATTTTAAATTTGACAGACCTGCTTGAAGTTGATAGGGAAAGTTTTTCTG